AGACCAGCCCACAGGACCAGCCCGCACCCCCAGACCAGCCCACAGGACCAGCCCGCACCCCCCCCAGGACCAGCTAGAACCACGCAGGGACCAGAGCCCTCCTCCTTCATCCTCCTGGGAACCTGCTCCCAGCAGCAGGGAGCTTAGGGCATGATACAGAAGACTGACACAGGTAAGCCGATATACTCAGAGCTTGCCCTCACTGACATAAAATACAAGGAAACTTTATTTTTCAGTAGTACCAAGGTTTTGCTCTGTTTTTGTTTTGTTTTTTTTTGTCTTCAAGCTGCTTATTAGTGGACAAGTCCGGTCAGTTCTTGTATTAAAAAGGATCTTGATGGAGGTAGCTTTGTCTCTGTCCTGGCTTTTGCTTGGTCTTGCCTGCACGCTCATCTCGGTAAACAAAGGCGAAATAAAATTAGAAATGAAGTCTGGGATCCCAGGAGGCAGCGAGCAACGCAGCCAGGCTTCTCCGTGTAACAGACGCGGCGCCGCGGCCTCCAGTCGCTATGTACAGAGTCCGTCACACGCCTCCCTCTCTCCAGAGCACACTCCTTGCTCCAGCAGGCTGGCTGCAGAGGAAGGAGGTTCTTCTTCTCCTCCCAGAGACCTGCACAGCAGCTTCCATGGAGGGGAACAGCACCCAGTCAGGAATGTCAGGCAGAGGGGTAAGAGTGTGAAGGGGGAGGAGGGCACGGGGGGGAGTCACTTCAGCTTGGCCGAGAGGTCAACAGCACCGGGCCAGGGACTCACTGCTGCTGGGCCACCTGTGGGGGGAGAGAAGGCAAGTCAGGGGGTGCTGAGGGATGCCCAGCTTTCCTTGCTCCGCTCCGACATCTGCAGCCGGGCGGCCACGGGCGGGATGCGGGACAGCATGGAGGGCAGGCGCGTCACGTCGGCCTTCATGTCACTCAGCAGCTCCTCCAGCTGCTTCAGAACTGGAAGAGAAAGGGACATCTGTTCAGAGGGAAAAGGGACACCCCGTAGGGAAGAGAGAGGGGACGACGGCGCGGGAACAGCCGTCCCACCCATAACACACTGCATTACCTTTGTGCAGCACGGCGTTGGCTGGTTTATTCCCAGCCATTGACTCCTTGGAGAGGTGCTGGTGGCTCTCAGCCAGGCATTCCACCTCAGCAAAACGTGTGTTGAGAGCCATGGATGGATGAGATGGGTCTTCGGACATGTTCAGGTAAGCAGCTCGCCGCAGCTGCTCCTCGATCACCAGGGCTTGCTCCAGGAGCTGCAAGGTGGGGCAGTAACGAGAGCCTTTCAGCAGTTTCCAGGAAAGCAGCCTGTTTGCACCCAATCTCTCTCAATCCAGGTCTCTCACTGCCTCATGAAATGAGATTGTGCAGCTGAGCCTCCTTTCATCAGCTTCTGTTTGTATCAAGTGAAGCCTCCAAAGCCCCAAACAAGGAAGGGCTCCATTAAGCTAGGCCAGGCACAAAGAAAACCAGGCTACATCTAGTCCCATGGAAGACTACCATAAATCCTCTAGGATTCTCATGCCTCCTCAGATTCTTTTCAGAGACAAAGCTGTTGTGCAATTTTACTGCTTCTTTATGGACCTTTCTCTTCAAACCAAGTGAGAAGTACCCCATGCTACTTGAAGTAAGAGTCTAAAAACTGTTAAGCCTGTCAGGGACAGTTGCAGAGACCAATTTGACTCCTGCTGGTGCAGAGCTGATCAGACTACACTGAATTGATGTTTTGCCCTAAAACTGAGAATGACACCTTGTTTATTTGGGTTGCACTTAAATTGCCCCCTAAACTAAGCTACTGTCACTCCCAAATGGGTTGGGGCAGAGACTGAAGACAACCCTTTCACCAATCCATACAGTGTTTCTAAGTTATGCACAGGCACATGGATGGAGTGGGTTGTACAACACCAAGCAGAAGCTGTGACGAAACAGCCACTCGAACCTTAAGCCTCCTGCATACCAATTGTTCAGTAACTATATGGAGAGAGAGCACTGAGCCAAGCACCCCAACAACACTTCTGGAGCAAAGGGAGCTCCTGTCATGGAGCTACAGCGTGATCCCAAGAGATACTGCTTATTTCCCCTACCTAAAATGAAAGGCATTGCAGAAGCCTTTACTTTCTTAAACTCAGAACAGCAAGCTTTTTCTCAAGAGGTCCAGCTGGTTGAAAGGCCCTTACCACAATGAAGAGAAATCCTTACCTTAAACCTCCTTGCCAAGAACTTATTCTTTATTTCCAGGAAGTTACCCCTGTTCATCTCACCCTTGAAGGGTTCATTGAGGATGGCGTAACGTGGGTCATTCTGAATATCCTGCCAACGGGCATAGCCATGACTGAGATGGGATGAGCTCAGGCAAACAAAGGCAGTGAGAACAAGGGAATACACAGGCCCAGGCAGATACAGTACTCAAGAGGGGGTGGGGGAAAGGGGGCTGCAGAGAGGGGAGGAGTAGGAGCCAAGGAAAAGGAATGAGAATTATGTTCTGCTAAGTCTTAACTATGCTGGCAGGAAACTCCTCCTCCCACCATCACTTTCACTCTTGTGAAAGAGGATAAAGCACCCTCTCAATGTATTCCAGTCAGACCCAGGACAGTCACCTCCACCCCAACAAGAGGAGAGAACTGGTCCAACAGGGTAAGGATACTTGATAATCCCAGCAAGGAGCCAGTAGTCGTGACGCCGATGCCAGATCTCATAGGTCTTCTTTGTGACAGTTGCAGCCCGCTCTTCATTCTGCCACAGGGAGTGCAGTTCTGGAAAGTCAAGAGACACCAGAACAGTCGAAAACTATTTCATGAACACAAGCAGGGGCACATGAACAAGTTCCAAGCATATGAGGAGTTCTTGTACCAGTGAAGCCACCATCTGCTATGTTGAACATGAAGCGCTGCTTTACTGCCTTCTTGTGCCTCTCATCTACTGACTCTTTCAGCATCTCTCCATTCTGCAGCATCACCACATCTCTCTTGTCATCATCTTTTTTCTCATCTGTATACACAAGAAATTGTTAGAAAGAACATGGCAGATACCATCACAAGCTGGACCCACCAAGGAACCCTTGCAGGAGAAGGGTTAAGGAAGAGAATGGAATTACTGTGACTCACCTTTCTCATCCAGAGTGATTATAGGAGGTTCAGGGGGATTTTCAGTAGGTGCTCTGTCTTCCACCTTCTCCACATCAGCTGCAGGAGAGAAGGAGAACATGAGATGCAGGGGAATATGGCAAGTCCAAGGTTTTGTTCTTCAGCCTGTGAAACCTCATACTATTCCCTAACTCCCTGCTCCAAATCCTGAAATAGCCCCACTCATTTACACCTGTTTCTTTAGGATGAAGTGCTAAAGCAAAGAAGATGCAACTTTAGGAAATAGTATTTGAGGAGGAGGGGGGATTTATTGCTGTTCGAGGTATTAAATGACCTCCCTAGAGATACCTTTGCTTTCTACTTCCATTGGCTCATCTGGTCTTTCCTTCACC